CGCCTAAAAGATAGACATATCAGTGGGGTTTTGTTGTTCTTTTACATGTTACAAATTTTCTGTATTTAATAAATAAAAATTTATTTTAAGAGAAGCAGTATTTTTCATATTTTATATATCAATTCCTATTGTGATCAAGTTTATCATATAATATTAAACTTATAAATCAAGGATTAGTTTTCATCCAAATATATCTCATTTTAAAATACTCTGTATACATTAAAATGTCCAAAATATATTTTAGAATTAAATGGTGTTACATTATGTTTTATGTAGTTCAGAATGCACTTAACTATAAGTGCTTTTTCTTCATCACCTTTGTAACCACTCTTATTCACCCCTTAGGTCATGTCGACGTTCTCTTAACTGATTTTTCTTGCGTTTTTGCTTCTGTCTGGTTAGTTTTCCATGGTGTAGCCAAAAATATCTCTTGAAACACAGCTATGTTATTCTTCTGCTCAGAACTCTTTAATAGAGTTTGATTTTCCTCTATGGGAAAAAGTTATAGATAAAAACTAAAATTTCTAACATTACTTTCCCATAAAATTTGTTTCTGCTATCTTTTTTAACACCATCTCCAACTACTCTTTGTTATGACACACACCATGCTCTCTTGGAAGCGTCTATGTCCTAAACATGCCATGTACTTACTAGTTTTTCAAGTAACTGATTAAGTTTCTTTGCTTTTTTTTTTTTTTTTTTTTTTTTTTAGTACCAGCAATTGGACCCAGGACCTTGTCCTTGCCAGTCAGGTGACAGAACCACTGAGCTAAATCCCCGGGCCTATACTTTCCTTGCTTTTAGAAGCTTTCCTTAATCAGCCCCACTGTCTCTCAACTAAGACTAAAATGTCCTTCCTATCTTTCCAGTAGCATTTTTACATAATGTACCTGTAGCATACTTGTGTTAATACATTATTTTTCATTAAATCTAAATCTCCTGGGGGTAAGACTATTTAACTCACTATTATAGCCCAAAACACTATTGTGCCCATGCTAAATACTTATTAATTTTAAAATGAATTAGTAAATTCATCCTAGTAACTACATATTTTAGGGGATGTTTTAAATAATAAAACAAGTTACATTATCCCACATTTAACCTGCAAATAGGTTCAAAGTTTTGTGCTTATTACTTACATTTTTCCCCCTTTATAGATCTCTGCTATATGAATTTATTAGGAAATTGCTATCAAGTAAACCTGTTATTCAACTTTATGCACTAATTTAGTTGACCTGATTTTTAAATTTTCTTTATTTTCATTTTTAAACTGCTTTTACATTACAATTTAGTTTTGAATGTAATGATTGCATATGCAATTTATGATAGGCTTTAAAAAGCTAAAAAATCTTTCAAAGGAAATACATATAAATCCATATCTTATTCCTATGAATAGAAATTCAAGCAAATGTGTCTCATATTTTCATTTGATGTGTTTGGTATCCTAACAGTAAGGCTGACAAAAATGTTATTTTTATCTTCTATACTAGAAAAATCTAAAAATCCAAACTAAAAGGCAAGTAATATCTATTTAAAGTAATGGTAGAGAATGAGAAATTAGATTCATTCATAGGAAAATGGATACATATTGAAGATATACTCCTAAATGAAATAAATAAGTCACACATGTGTAAATATCAAATTTCTCTGGTGTGAATAAACTATAATAGTACATAAGATCCTAATGAGAGCCAGGCATAGTGGTGCATACCTGTAACCCCAGCACTCAGGAGGCTGAGGCAGGAGGATCGCTGTGAGTTCGAGACCAGCCTGGGCTACGTAGTGAGTTCCAGGTTAGTCTCAACTGCATAGTGAGACCGTGTCTCAAAAAACCAAAAGAAAAAAAAAACAAAAACATAAGCTCCTAATAAGATAATTGACAATGTGAAATAGGAAGAAAAGGGCTAACAGTATAGGGAAAGTGGGAAGGGTAGGGAAAAGGTAATAAGGGAAAAGAAAAAAATAGGAGAAAATGAAAAAAATGAAATGAAATGTTTGTAAATGGGGAGGGGAGGAGGGGGTGAAGGGAGGGAAGGGACAAGGGGAAAAAATGAGAACCAAGACCTGTCATGTAAAGGTACAGGATCCCAATAATGAATGTAACTGTACTGTATACCTAAAATGTACCAATAAACTCAATGAGGAAAAATTAATAAATTTAAAAAATTAAGTAATGATAATGTATATTTACATATGAAAAAATAAGATGGAGTTTCTTAAGATGGATAATTGTACTGTTTCTCTTTTTCAAAACATTTTATTTTTTAAAATTAAGCTGAAAATTCTATGTTTAAATCAGTAGATTAGCTGCAGAAAGGAGGGGGTAATGACAATGTGGAATATTTTTGCAATTATACATTCCTATGTGATGTATATGATGCTAGTGCTCAGTCCACACATTGAAAAATACTGATCTATCAGACTGTAATGATTTTCCTCTGATACTACTTATTTCATATTACTCCTACATAAGTAGTGTGCTTTTGCCAGGTGAAAGAGTTGCTATACTCAAAATGTACTTGGTGCTTTTTTTTCCTGTGCTATAGTTTTATTTCTCTCTCTCTCACACACACACACACATATGCATTCTTTTCCCATGAAATCTTTATCTCATACCTTCAACTAGAAATGTACTTTTAGTTTAAACTTATGATTCTTTATACCAATTGAGATCATGACTATTTTATGTTGTCATTATCTGTTTATATACTTTACTGTTTTATATTATTTATAAACTTCTTAAGGATTTAGGTTGTGTGTATCCAATAATACATTGGTATATGCTAAGTACATGGTTCTTTTAGATTTTTTAATTGTTAAATATGATATTGCTTATAAAAATACTTTTTTATATAGAGGTAAAGTACCTTTTTGTTTCAATCACTGTGAACATTCTAGAAAAGAAAAAGCCCATCTCAAAAATAATTTTAAAGATCAGATAATTTATAAACAAAAATGACTGGTTTAATTTTTAGGCAAAATAAAGGGCCAATGAGATTGAGGAAGAATAAGAGATAAATTCTTGGGCCAGGGATTTAGCTTAGGGGCATTGGGCCTGCCTGGCAAATGCAAGGTCCTGTGTTTCATTCCCAGTACTGGGGAAAAATGAGAGAGATATAGTCTCTCCTAGCCGTATAACAAAACATATCATTATATTACATACATACATACATACATATATACAAACAGAAAAATAGTGGTCATGCTACTATAGCTATCAGTTATATTAGCACTACTGCTAGGATCTCAACCCAGAGAAGATGAAATATTATTGGAAATATAATAAGTCTGAGCTTGGTAATCAAAGTTGGAATAAAAAGAATCAGCTGCATTTTAATTTTCACTAAAATTGTGGTGGAATTTAAAATATAATTTTGTTGGAAAATAAAATGCAAATTCTGATTTGATAAATTCAAAATAGATATAGAATCAACATCACTGTCGGCAAACTCATGTACATAATACGTAGGAAAGGAAGCTACAGAAATGCAAGATGGGACCAACTTGCTATGTAGAATTACAAAGATTCCAGAGAAATTTATCAGTCCAATTCTCAGGACATCAAACTGTTTTTCATATTTTACAGAAAACTATTTTTCTCCTCCATAGAAATGTTGAGAGCCTAACATGCAATAATTGTTTTAGGAATATCTCTAATTCTTAGGAGAAAAAGTTTTACAAATTTTCTGCTATAAATAACACTATATTCCCTGAAGGAATACTGCACCCTTAGTTGAAATTCTAGATTTATACAATAAATTGCCAGATTTGACATATAAATTTAAGGGAGCCTTAAAATTGTTGACATTTCAATCATATTTCTGGTTTTATTATAATCAATTAGCTATCAAATTGATAAAAAGTTACAGTGTAGCACTTTTGTTGAGAAAGGCAAGTAAAATTTCTAATAGAAACATACTAAGAACTATGTGACTTGCCCAGTGCCATCTTGACCCTAAGTAAAGTAGTTTAATTCTATTGGAAGAAAAGCAGATTTTAAAGAACATCATTAAGATTAAAGGTTAGAAAATAAACCTTACATTTGTTAATGAAATCATGAATTCCAATAAAAAAGGCAAAGGGTAATTCCACAGTCATTTTCAGATAGATGGAAAATTTTAAATAAAGCTATTAATTCTTCTTTTTCAGATTGAAAACAGAATGAAAAGACAAAAGACAGCTTTAGGTTATTTCAGAAAGTGAAAGTGGTTAAAGAATAAATTCAAACACAAGAACACTTATAAAAATATTACATGGCTAAAAATCTGAATTGTAAAATTTTTTAAATCGCATGTTCTCTTTGTTTGCAAAGGTGAAAGTGAGATGATCTTAACACATCAAAGTAATACAACCAATTAGTGATAGAACATGATTCTGTCATTTGAAAACTCAGGTGTTCAACTCTGAACTCCAGGCTTCCAATATTGTCTCCATTGTTTAAATGTGTACTAGAAATTAACAGTGGTCTTTCGAAGATCTTTCTATCTTACAGTGCCTATGATTATAAATGTATCTGTTGACATTTGAGCTCTCTAACTTCTTTCCCATTTCCATTCATTTGTGAAAAACATTGTTTTGCTTTAAAACTAGGCTTCTTGAGAAACAGAAGCTCAAGTAGAAATCTCACTCAGCTTGAGTGTTTGTGCATTAAACTTTTGAACATACACATTTCTATATTAGACATTTTATGTACTATCTTATTGAAATCTTAGTACTCTATGAGATAAGTTGGAACAAAATTTTAAAAAGGTTGACTGTGGTGAAATTTCTCCAAGTAATTACTTTATTCTAATTTGATTTTCAGTGCAATTTTCTAATCTACCACACTACCCATCTTCCAGAGTGCCCAGTTTACATAGCAGTTGCTGAATTTCTTACTGTAACAGTTGTATTCCAAAACAGTTGTCTGCATATAAAGTAAATTGACTAGCCTTTTTTATGGAATATATTTAAACCAAACATCCATGCCAAATTAGTATTCATCCACTTTCTCCTTTCAGGCCTGTATGTGGAATTAGAGGGAAAACGCTCATAATTAACCTACCAGGTAGCAAGAAAGGATCTCAGGTAAGCATCCTTGACATACATATGGTTTAGTTTAAGTACATTTAACCAACTGTTAAGAGTTAACCAGGGCCAGGGATTTAGCTCAGTGGTGTTACCACCTTCATCAAAAGCGCAAGGTCCTGAGTTCAATCCCCAGTATCAAAAAAAAAAAAAGTGAACCTTCCAAAAAGAGCACTCTATTAGATTGCTCTTGCTTAAGACACTAATTCACGTGATTCCCAAATTCACCCTCAGGTTCTATAATTTAGTACAGAACCCACTAAAAGTTGTCGTACTTACAGTCACAGTTTATTACAGGGAAAGGATACGGATTAGAATAATCCAAGGAAAGAAGTACATATGATAAAATCTAGGAAAAATGCCATATCTGAACCTTTGATTGTCTTCTCCCTACGGTTTTGTCCCTGCAAGGTATTAGAGATGAAAGGTATAAGTATCATAGCAACTCATCTGAGCTGTTATTGTCCTGGGGTCTTTTTTGGTTACACATACTGCCACTGTGGCCGACTTTTAGTTCTTAGCTCTTCCCAGAGGCTGAACTCACACCTTTAGTCTCTAATACCTAGCAGAGACAAAAGCAATACCATTGTAGCCCAAAGATCCCAAACACTAATCACATTGTTAGGCCCTCTGATGGCCAAAGCCCCCAGGCAAAGGAAGATATTCCTTTTTAGGCATGAAATTCTGAGGATCTAGAGATTACCTCTCAGTAGCTGACAAAGGCCGGATTCTCATACTCTTAGTAATGTTAATTCTTCACTACACTAGCTACTCTTAGCCTTTGGCCAAGACTTTCTTACAGTAAAACAACTAACATTACCCAAAAAATCTGGGGATCTATATTTACTATAGCATATGTGACAGGTATGGCAATGCTGTCTGTGAATGTGCACAGATTGAGAGGAGGCAGTGTGCAGTACAAATAGATTCAGAGAAACAGCTGATCCATCCACTAAAGTCATTGAATACATTTTCATTTTTTTGAAGTAATTTGCTAAATTTCCACCTTAATCTCCTACTATTTCTACCATATGATACATTTTGTGCAGAACTGGGTAACACAAAAGTTAGATGAAGTAATTCCCAGTTCTTCATTAAGCTAATCATTTTCCATTGATACTACCTCCTGAGAGATTTCAGCTCAATTTCCCGTACATTTAACCATCATCAGTATCAGTACTATATTACTAATAATGCCAGTATTACAACATATTACCTTATGGAAGTGAATATAATGAGGAAAGAGGGGAGGAGATACTGGTACATTACTGGACTCCTCCTTAGACATTAACAGTTAGCTCATCCATCATCACTCAGGTCTGCAGGCTTGTCAGGTTCCAAAACCAGGAGTGGCCTCAACAACATATGACTTCACACCCAGTTGTGCCAAGAAGCAATATCGCTTCTTGTTCTGACCCTCTTTTGAGATACCAATGTAATATTCTGTTTCCCTCATTGCATAACATAGTCTTCCTCTCCACTTATACCCAAACTAGTCCATCTTTCAAAGAGATTTAAGGTGCAGCCCTATCCTGGTTCAGACTGCCTCCAGTAATATTAATTTAGCAAGTGCCTCCCACTCAGTCTTCCTATAGGGTAAGGTTAAAAGGAAAGAACTAGTGGACTATCATAACTTAATTGGTAGTTTAACTGCCTTCACTGTCAACTCTACTTTGGCCAGTTAAGGTAAAAGCAAAATTGGACCCATAGGAATTTTGACAAATGTTTAAAGACATTTACAGTTTTCTTGCTTAGAAATCGTAACTTCTGGCACCCAGTCATATCACGGGTCCTAAGGACCACTATATAAAGTAGAGAAAATGAAAACTCTGAGGTGACCTAAGAAGAAAAAATATATACTCATAAAATATTGTTGTTGTACCAGTATCCTTCCGCAATCCCATGTTTCCCCCCCAAAAAAGCAACGGAATCTATATAGTAAGAACCTACCTTTCTTACCCTTATTTTGAATGTGATCACATACTCATGAAGGCATCTAAGCAAGTCCTTCACACACTTATCCTACTGAAGGCAACAGATATTTCAATTGCTTATTCCATTATCTCTCAAATTATTACACTGAGGATAAAAATGTTAGGACCCATTGATATCCTTTAGAAGATATTGGAATCAGTCTGATTTGCCAGTTATACAAAGGACCTTCCCCACTTTGGAATATACCCCAGAGTCTTCTGCAGTCTCTAATTCTTTGGCATATGTAACAGTTCTAATCAACATTTTGTGCCTCAGAGAGTATAAGAAGTATATAGCTAGATTCAGTCTCCCTTTACATTGTTGCTTCTGAATCTGCTCATTGAATGGGCCCAGGTGGCAAAATCGAGCAACCACACTGAGTATTTGCTCTTTGCTTCTAGTGAACGTCTATCCCTGAAAGGAATTTCTCCAATGGACATTGACACATCTATTTTCATGTACTCCTCTACTTAGTTCCCAGAATGATTTCCATAAGGACTATGACCCCAGCAGGCATTCCTTTACTATGTCAGTTTTTATTGCCCTTCTATCTGACTATATGGGAAGACCCCTGGACAATACATCACCAAACTGTCAGCAAAAACAGAGGCAAAAATCATGCAGTTCCAATCACTGAGTTGATTTGCGTTCATCTCATTTAGCCAACTACAAAGTTGGAGCACTCCAAAAGACTGCCCTCACTTCTGACACAAGTTGCAAATTCAGGGGATTCCTAAAAACCATGCTAGTTTAATAATTCACTAGGATTCACAGAACACACTGGAAACTATTATAGTTCTTGTTTTTGCTTATTATGATAAAGAAATACAGATTAAAATCAACAAAGAGAAAAACTACATAGGTAAGAATCTAAGAGAGGTACCTTGGAATCATAGGAATATTACATTCCTGGCATTGATGTATACCCTCAGAAAATTGCTAGCTAGAATGCTAACCTGAGCCTTTGATATCCAGACTTTTTAAGTGTCTAAAGTTGCCCAAAGTCCTCAGGCAAAACAGGACATTTTTATATGGCATTACATTCCAGGGGTCTAGAAATAACTCTTAAGAAGCTGACAGTAAAATCCACACCTCTGTTTGTCAATGTTAAATTCTTTACTGCACAACATTTAAACTGTATATTGACAGAGCCATACAAAGAAAGGTTAGAAGATTAAGTATTCTTCTAGGTATTTCAGTATTCTATAGAAAGTTTTAAGATTTTTTTTTTTTACGTCTTAGTTTTTAATTAAGTTGTTACGTTAAATGTAAAAGAAAAAGACTTCCACTTATTACCCAAACATATCTGGCTCTTAAGTTCTTACCTATTCTCTTTTAGTGATATATTGTAGGTAACATTTGCACTTGAACAGCAGATTCTGTTGACTTCTATGTGGAGCTCATTATTTGCTTGTTTCTTACATACTAGGTATGCTCTAAAAATACAGTGAATGTTTACATTTTAAAAAAATTATTACAGTAGAAGGCACATTACCATTAATCCCCTCAAACTACTCCCTCTCAGTTCCTTCCATAATTCTTGCCACTTTCCAAAGCAGTTCTGAAAGTCTTCTTTGATGAATGTTTTTAGTTGCACTGTTATGGCTGCCTTGAAGTCCTGAATCAATACAAAATGTTTACCTTTCATGCTCATTTCGATGTTGGATAAGAGCCAGAAATTGCACAGTGCCAGATGTGGTGAATAAGGTAGATGAAGACACACTGTAATGTTTTTGTGAGCCTGCTTTTCCATTAGATTGCGCAGAACAGTGGCATTCACCATACTTTTTTAAGTACATCTTGCAAGTAAATGGAATAAGACTCCCAGAACAGCTTCAGAAATTGACAAGAGCAATGGGATAAGTATGTTGGAAGTGAGGGAGAATATTTTGAGGGATTAACAACAATGTATCTTTTACTGTAATTTTTTTAAATTAAACATTCACCATATATTTCGACATCTCATATAATATTATCTAGTTATATTTTATACTACATTTGATAGTATCCATAAGGCCAAGAAGCAATCTAGTTATATTTTATGATAGTAATTAGAACTCTAGCTCTAAATGAAATAATCTGGCCCTCCTGTGGTTTATTTGTTCTGCTCAAATAAAAAAGTGAAAATTCTTTCCTGCCTTTCTCATAATGAATCTTTTAAACTCTAATGCTGTGTTAAAATTTAACTTACAAATGCAGTGTGTGCTTTAGTAGTACTGTATTTTCTACATTCCTGATGGAGAACACTATGTACCATTCTTCGTATTTCATTTTGTAAATACATGCTTTAAATATGATTCATTCTTGCTGGGCATGGTGGTACACAACTGTAATCTCAGCACTTGAGAGACAAAGGCAGGGGGGCTGCCTCGAGTTCAAGGACATGCTGGACTACAAAGTAGAACCTGTCTCAAAAAAAAAAAGATTCATTCTTGAGATTGAGGGAGGGAAATGCAGATCCAAAATCAAGAATCACTTTGCTCGTCATCATTTTTTAAGTCTAGAAAAAGACTTCATCACCTTCTTTGCTTTTTTTCTTGCTTTTATGGACAGGAATGCTTTCAGTTCATACTGCCAGCTCTACCTCATGCCATTGACCTTTTACGTGATGCCATAGTAAAAGTAAAGGAGGTGCATGATGAACTTGAAGATTTACCTTCCCCACCACCTCCACTTTCCCCTCCTCCCACAACCAGCCCTCATAAACAGACAGAAGACAAAGGGGTTCAGTGTGAAGAAGAGGAAGAGGAGAAGAAAGACAGTGGAGTTGCTTCAACAGAAGATAGTTCATCATCACATATAACTGCAGCGGCCATTGCTGCCAAGGTAAGCTTGCTGAGAGAGATTGAGATCTGAAGGACTCACAGGTGAATATACAGAATTCATTCCTATTTCCATCCCATCCTTGAAGTTTCATATCTCTTTAGGGCATCCTAAAAAAAGTAAAAAAGTTTGAACAATCCCGTATATTGTACTACTATGTTTCCTTCCAGACACAGTTTCCATGAAGGTTCTGAAGTTTGTTCTGTACTCTCTAAGGCATTAAAAATACTATTGTTACTATTAAAGTTATAGCTGCAGTGATAAACAGTGTCACATTCAAGAGCTATTTGAAGCTCTTTGAAACTGTATCTTTTTGTGGACACCTTAATTTATCTTATTTTTATCTTAATTTATCTTATTTATCTTACTTTTTTGTGAACAGTGTTTATATATTCAGAACATTAAAACTTCACAAAATTTTAAAGAAATAAAAAAAAACTGAAATTAAAAGACCTTAGATGACTCAATAAATGAGTTGGAAAAAACTAAAATTTTTAAAAGATGTGACTTATAAGCAGTTTGAATTCTGCTTAATCAAGCTCTTATTCAAATATTGCATGACATAGATTACCATAATAGCTACAGAGAAATGGTTATATTTACATTCTAATTTAATAAAATAATAAATATTTAATAGGATAATACCAAAATATTATAAATTCTCTCTACACAGTTCTGGGGATAAATGTAGTATCATGAGATATTTGAGTAAATTTAATCATCTTAAAGTCACAGAATATAATTTACATCATTATCCATACCTAGTAAAAACCACCTATCTAATTTCTAGAAGGATAACTTCTAAGAATTATAATTGTCTACTAATTGAAAGCGTAAAGGTTGAAAATTTAATCTCTACATGGAGTAATTTGTAGCATTTTATAAATCATTCACATATTTTGGCTACGAACATAGTGAAGACTTTATTAAGAACATATAGATTAGAATCATAAAGAAATCCTTTTCAAGTATCCATTCATGCAACCAATAACGGTTCCTTTCCTGAAGACTAGATGATTTCATTTCTCCACATCATTCATTGACTCATGTAGTCCTTATTTGATAGTGGTAAGTATTTAATGTATAATTTTTTGGTTTGTTTGTTTTGGGGTGAGTTTTGTTTTTGTTTTTGTTTTGTTTTTTTGTACCAGAGATTGAACTGGGGACCTTGCACTTGCAAGGCAGGCAGCGGAACCACTGAGCTAAATCCCTAGCCCAGTTGTATATAATTTTAATAGAGATAATTGGTGAAGTAAGTTCATTTTAAAATCATTATATGTTTCTTCTCTTTTTCTCTTAATTAAAAGAGTAAAAAGTATCGTCATTTTCAGTCTTATGAAATAAGCCTGTAGCATTTTAAATCTACATTTATTTTATCATTTTACATGTAGAAAACTTTGGCATGTCATTATTTCATGTTTTCACCTTTTTTTCCTTTTAGTCATTTTGTTTGTATAGTGTTGTTTTCCTGTCACTGTATTCATAATTGTTATGTGTTGTGCATTAGAAGCATCCATTCTACACAAGTACTGCTGTTATCATGGCACATGGTGAGCAGCCCATCCCTGGTCTCATCAGTTATTCCCATCATGCAACAGGCAGTGCAGATGAACGGGTAAGGCAAGAGGCTTTCTCATTAATGGTTTTGCAACTATACATCCTACTTCCTGTCTTTGGAGGCAGGTTAAAACATATGTGTCATAGAAGGTGTGTTATTTTATACTGATGGATCTTCAGTAGTACTTTCTTGTGAAAGTGCTCTTAAGTATATTGCTGCAAGGAATTTAAGAGTTTCTCTTATGCCTAAAGAACTCTGCTATCATCAAGAGTCTGTAGTTTGTGACAATAAGCTTTTGTCATAAGACTTTTAAGAAGTTTAATGTTCAAGAAAGTTTTTTTAGCAGTTTCATTGATTATTTTTAAATATACTTCCTGATTTTAAATAATCCCTTAAGAAGATCACTTTGAGTCCTAAAATCTAGACAGATTGGCCAAGCTAATATCTAATTTGTATTAACCTTGCTTTTTTTTTTTAATTCTCATGACTTTCATTTCATTTTACTTTCCTCTACTGTGTTCTCATTTCAAACATTTTCAGAATTAACTTGATGCAAATTCTGTGATTATTAATCTTTAGATATAAGCTTTTAAGGTTATATATTAGTTTTTTCAGTCAAATACTGAGTGATAGTTTGTAGAAAGTCAGATTAGAAAAGAATAAATTGATAAGTATAATTCATTTAAAAATGATAAGTAAGACCATGACTGCCAAAAAAGTCAACCTCAATCCATGCTATAGATGTAAAATGAAAAGGAATCAAAAAAAAAGAAAAACAAATATTATTTTGGGTTTAAACACTCAGGAAGAAAAAACACCCAAAATTTGGAAAGAAAAACCCAACAACTTTGCATGAGCAGTCTCTTAGGAGAATAATAGCAAATGAAGACTTCAAACCTTGTATTTCACTGGTTATACCTCATTAGAAATAAACGTGGTTTATGGGCCGGGGATTTAGCTCAGCGGTTCCGCCACCTGCCTTGCAAACACAAGGACCCAAGTTCAATCCCTGGTACCAAAAAAGACAAAAACAAAAACTATTATGTGAATGTTTCATATATAGTTTGGTTATAAATATTTCAAAATGTACCGATTAGAACATCTTTTTAAATTCTCATTTCACAAAGCAGCCATAGCTACTACATTAACTGTTCTGGATTTTTAATCTAAAGTAATTACAAATTTCTGTATTCATAACCAACATTTTAAGTTATATTGAGCTTCAGATTAGTGTACCAGATATTCTTTGAAGTACTTTTTTCTTCAATTCTCCCATTTTTATAACAGGTATTCCTGAAAATTCATGAGAGAAGGTAATTATTATATTTGATAGTCTCCTTAAATTATTAGGGCTTAATTCTCTGGAGGAACTAATGGAGAATGACTGTTAAACTGTTCTAACCATGTGCCCTCAAATGGCTTCACCCAGGAACTTCTCATTTATTCAGTGATGCTTAATCCTTTATAAGTAGCAATATAGGTCATCTTTAAGAGATGTTCAATTTCATAAGTAGTTTCACATTTCTGTACTTCCTCTGATAAATGAAATAGGAGCTGTATATCAGAGAATATAATGTGCTTATCCTTTTTACCTATATCCATTCAAAGAAATGAAAGAAATTTGCAGTACTGAATAAAGCTTTTCCTATTAGTGTTTTTTAAAAATATACAAATATGAATAGATTGTTCCAGCCCATAAAGAATTTGTAATCTTGCTACAGTTGCTTTTTATTACTTCTTTACTTTACTAGTTCAATTTTCTGCTTCTTATAATCAAGAAAGTTAAGTCTGATGAATGTACTAAGTCTTTAATAGTTACTTGTATTCTGATTATTTCTTATTGCAAAACTCATCAACTTCCTATTTCAAGAGATTAACAAGACATGGGAAATGCCTCTTGTAATACTCATTTGTTAGCTGCCCCTCCAGCAGCAATTCCCATTTCTTCTTCTAATACTATACTTCATTTCCCAGTTATGTAGTTAGGGTACACTGGCTTAATTTAATCAGCATATTCATTTCCTCTAGCCACTGTTACCAGTTCAAAGACCACAAAATTCAAACCACTCAGAGGTAGCATGTATCATCTCTTAGATTTTTTAAGTACTACAGATTCTTTCTTGCTAAATATGAATGAATAAAGTTTACAACCCCAAGAATTGCCATCTTAGGACCATTGAAAAGAAGTTCTGCCATAATAGAACCAACAGTAGAGAAGCAATCCTGAGAAATGGAAAGGAGATGTAATGGGTCCTGATCATGTTGTTTCAACCATTTACTAGAACCTGTGTTGAACTATATCTGGCCCTTAACTCAGTTATATGAGCTAATACATTACTTTGGAAGAAACCTAACTAGTGATCAAGTTAGTATATAGTGTTGTTTATACCAAGAAAGCATTTTCTCTAGTGTATACTATCTCATCAAAGAGCTGAAAACTATTCTTAACCACTTACCAGTCCAGTTATTTAAATACAGAATGACCAAGATAAAAATGACAATTTTATCAAATTTGTTCAATAAAAGAATTGACTGGTTGAAATGACATCTGTCTGAGCAATTCTCAGGATAGTACCTAAACATACATGCTGCCCAACTGACACTGGGGATGTACTGTTAAGTGATTAGTAATGACTAAATAGTATCAACTAGGATTCCCTGAAGTTTCATATTTGATGAGAAAGCTGATTTAGGAATATAGGTAGGGAAAGGTGACATAAAGGAGGAAGAAAAGGGGAAGAAAATCTTTGTCTCTCTCTATTTGGTAAATAAGCCTAAAGGTCTTTTCAAGGAGACTGGATGGAAACCTGAAGATAACATTTGGGGCTTTACAGCCTGAAACAAATTGATAGGTTCAAAAATCTAAGCCATAATGATGACCAAAGGATGAATTTAAGGAAAAAGAGGGAAAATACCCTTGGAGGTATATAATAGAAAGTCTGTCTCACCAACAGAAATTAAGTCTTCTAGATAAAATAGATAAAACTCTTGAAGACGTAGGTGTAGGCAGAGACTTAAGGAGCAAAACACAAATCACACAGGAAATATTACAGAGAATCAATAATTAAGATCTCATCATATTAAAAAGCTCTTGCACAAAAAAATAAATAAATAAATAAAAGGCTGTTCTTGCACAGCAAAAGATACCACTAAGAGTGGTAGAGTGAAGAGGCAACCCACAAAATGGGAAATAATTTTTATCAACTATTCTTCCAACAAAGGACTAATATTTAGAATATATAAAGAACTCAAAAAATCAGACCCCTTCAAAAATTTAAAGATCCAATCCAAAAATGGTCATCTGTAATGAATAAACACTTTTCAGATGGAGAAATACAAACAGCAAATAAATATATGAAAAATGTTCAACATCTCTGGTCATTCAACAAATGCAAATTAAAACAGCATTGAGATTCCATCTCAATCCAAAATGGCTATCATCAAGAAATCAACCTATAAGCCGGGTCTGGTGGTGCACACTTGTAATCCCAGCACTCAGGAGGCTGAGGCAGGAGGACTGCTGTGAGTTCAAGACCAGCCTGGGCTACATAGTGAGTTCCAGGTCAGTCTCAACTACATAGTGAGACCCTGTCTCAAAAAACCAAAAAAAGAAAAAGGAAGACATCAACCAATAAATAAGAACCAAAATGAGTTATGTAAAGGTACAAGACCCCAGTGATGAATGAAACTATTATATACCTAAAGTGTACCAATAAAGACAAAAAAGAAATCAATCAATAAAAAAATGCTGGCAAGGCTGTGGGAGTAAAGGAACCCTTCTCCACTGTTGGTGGGAATGAAACTGTATTATATACCTTAAGTGTACCAATAAAGACAAAAAAGAAATCAATCAATAAAAAAATGCTGGCAAGGCTGTGGGAGTAAAGGAACCCTTCTCCACTGTTGGTGGGAATGTAAATTGGTGCAACCAATATGGAAGTCAATATGGAGATTCCTCAAAAAAAAAAGACCAAACAAAAAAAAAAAACCTGAAACTAGAGATTCCGTTTGACCCAGCTATTCCCCTTCTCAATATTTTCCCCAAAAGAGTTAAAAGCATCATACCATAATGATATGTGCACATCCACATTTAGACCAGCACAGTTTGTAAGAGCTAAATCTTGGCCACAGCCCAAATGCCCATCATCGGATGGATGGATATAGAAAATGTAGTTTTTATATACAGTAGAATACTACTCTTCCATAAAGAAGGACAAATTTGAGACATATTTAGGTAAATGGATGCACCCTGAAACCATACCTTCAAGGAAAATAAATCAGACACACGTGTTTAAGTACCACATGGTTTCTCTTGTATGAGAAACTGAAAACACAAATAAAGACCAAAGTGGACTACAGATATTGGGAAGTAGGAAAAAAATGTTCAAATGTAATGGAACATAAGGGAAAGGGGAGTGGAGGTGGAAGGAAAGGAAAGGAAAAACAGAGAGTAGAGGAAAAAATGGACACAAATATAAAGAAGGAGGGGAAGAGGGGTTAAAGGGAGGGGAGAGAAATGTGACTAATTGTGAATAATGAATGTGATCATTATGTATATTAAAAGTGTATCAATAAAGTTAATTTTTTTTAAAAAAGATATTAAATTTTCTAGAGAAATCCAGAACAAAAAGGGTGCTCTCCAATCTGCATAGTATGAGAGAAACTTTTGCTTGCCTCAGGGAAAGTTAATGATTTTCTTTTGGTAAAAGATATGGAAGGGCAGGGGATATAGGTCAGCAGCTCCATGCCTGCCTGGCAAGTACCAAGTCCTGAGTTCAATTCCTGGTACCAGGAGAAAAAAAATTTTAAAAGCCAGGATATGGAGAAAACTGTATGTCAAATCCACATAGTCAGTTGGGAATAATCTGTCCCCCTAGACCATTTATTTGGATCTTGAAAGAAAACCTGCCTGGAAATAAATGACATTATTACAGTTGACCCGCAACACACCACAAAGTTGTGGTCAGAAAATTAAGGAATATACAAGCATGTGTGTGTGTGTGTGTGTGTGTCCATGAAGATTTTGGTATATTAAAATAATACTAAAAGTCACTCTT